GTGTGTGTGTGTGTGTGTGTGTGTGTGTGTGTATATATATATATGTATGTATGTATATATATATAGATATAGATATGTGCGCGCGTCGCGCGCGTGTGTGTGTGTGTGTGCGTATATATATATATATAGCATGGCTGGCGTTTCAGTTGGGCAATGAATATTGAATGACACTATCACCCTGTAACTACATACAAATCCACCTCTTACTAGTGTACGTACCTGAGCAGGATTGAAGGAGCACACCAACAAACGCGTTAAGTGATATCCGTCCTTATGGCCTTACATAGGCTCTCATTCGGTTAAGCACTCGTACGCATACGTTTACGTATTCATTGACATCCGACAAACACCTTCACAGCTAAACAACGGACGTACAGAAACATATGAAGAAGCAGCGCTGCCCCCACACTTCCGCGACACCATCTTCGCCCCACACAACCCACAGTACTTATTAGCACAGCACAACACACCCACCAGCCACAACACACCCACCAGCCACAACACACATATCAGCCACAACACACACATCAGCCGCGGTGCAACAGGCGACATGTACAGCACCACGCGCCTCTCCGCAACAAACAGCCTGAGCTCCAAGGGGTGAGTGGTGTGTGTGTGTTCTAAGGGCTAAGTGTGGGTGAGTGATGTGTGTGTGTTTTAAGGGGTGAGTGAAGTGATTGTGTTTTAAGGGGTGAGTGATGTGAGTGTGTTTTAAGGGGTGAGTGATGTGTATGTGTTTTAAGGGGTGAGTGATGTGATTGTGTTTTAAGGGGTGAGTGATGTGATTGTGTTTTAAGGGGTGAGTGATGTGAATGTGTTTTAAGGGGTGAGTGATGTGTGTGTGTTTTAGGGGGTGAGTGATGTGAGTGTGTTTTAAGGGGTGAGTCATGTGAGTGTGTTTTAAAAGATGAGTAGTGTGAGTGTGTTTGAAGGGATAAGTAGTGTGAGTGTGTTTTAAGGCGTGAGTGATGTGAGTGCGTTTTAAGGCGTGAGTGATGTGAGTGTGTTTTAAGGCGTGAGTAATGTGAGTGATGTACTTCTTTGTCACCCATATATCCACACATTCACATCATCAATTCTGTATCTTTAGAGCAACACGCCGCTGTATTCATACCTACTGTCCGCCTTCCGTCCTATCTATCATCCTTTAAACCCATAAACCCTAAAACTCACCACTGCTTCCCTACGACTACTGCATCTCTATACCCAAACCCCAATGTTCATTCTCCTAATCATTGAAACCCTAAAACCCTAAATCGGTTAAAACTCTAAAACCCTATAGCACTTACCACTGCATCTCTATACTCAAATCTCAATGCTCATTCCCCCAATCATTGAAACCTTAAAACCTCTATTGGCCTTGATTCGATTACAACCCCAAAACCCTACATCAGTGCACACGAACTCATACCGCTGCACGCCTGTACCCCTTCAGAAACACTGGAGAGGCCGGGTGCCAGACCTGCGACTACCTATCTCTGCAACGGATGGTGTTCACACCCCGGCCAATACAGACACAGCTCAGCAAAGACAGCAGGAAGTACTCGCAGCTCAATAACACACTCTCACACAACACAGACACGTGTGAGGCTGGCAGTCAACGCACTGAGGGACAAGCGGGTGCGCCTGTGCAAAGATTGAGTATGTGGTGTCTATCGCAGGAGAGAGTGTTCGTTGTAGAGAGTGGGGTGTGTGGGTGTATGTGTGTATGTACACGTGACTGTGTGTCTTGTGCAGAGATTGAGTATGTGGTGTCTATCGCAGGAGGGTTTAGGGTTGGGCTTGTGCTAGTGTAGTAGTGTAGTTCATGTGCGGCATTTGCGTAGTGGCTGTGTTGTCGTCGGTTTGTCTCTTTCACCCACTCTGCGTTTCTAAAACTCTGTCATACATCGTCACACCCCAACGACGTCTGATTCCTCGATAATTGTCCATATCCGACTACAGGCGAGAGTCATGATAAACTAAACAAGTCTACCAGCCTTGTCAGTAAGATTGCTGCGGCGGGGTCACAGGTGGATCTGTTAGTGGAAGCAAGACGACTGCAACGGCGCATGTCTGCCAGCAGCACAGCCAAGAAGGTGCGCACATGTAATTATGTAGCTATGCATGTCTGTGTATGTTCAATATATATATATATATTTATATATATATATACAATATATATATATATGTGTGTGTGTGTGTGTGTAATGTATATAATGTATATGTATATGTATATATACATATATGTATATGTATATGTACATGTACATGTATATATATAAATATATATATATATATGTATATGTATATGTATAGACATACATATAATTGATTTTACAACTACAAGTAATTTGGTATGTGTACGCCAATAGAACAAGAGCATTAACTGTGAAGTGACGTAATGTGTAAAGTAGTATAAAATACGAGATGCCGTATGACGGACTACAGAGGAGGCCGGGCATTCGGGATACGAGGAGATGGTGTGTCAGTAAACAGAGGGGACTGACGGTCGACAATATTTAGTCTATGACTATATAAGTTAAGGTTATGAGGTGATCAGCCCTCATAATCTTGAAAGCTATTACACTACTTTGATATTATAAAGTATAACGCTATTCCACTCTAAGCCGTTCGTGAACTACATATGTTACTCGCGATATATATATATATATTGTGTGTGTGTTTGTGTGTGTGTGTGTGTGTGTGTGTGTGTGTGTGTGTGTGTGTGTGTGCGTGTG